GGAGGGCCCTGGAGAGTATCATTGCTAAGCAAAATAAGCCAGTCAGAGAAAGAGAAGTATCACATGATCTCACTCATATGTGGAATCTAATAAACAAAATAAACTATTGAACAAAATATATCCAGAGGCATAGAAGCATAGAACAGACTGCAGAATTTCAGAGGGAAGGCAGTTGAGAGTGGGTAGGTGGGAAATGATCAACCAAAGAACTTGTATGCATATATGCATAACCCGTGGACACAGACAATAGGGTGATGAAGGCTTGGGGCAGTTGGTGGGAGTGGGCTAGAAGGGGTCAATGGCAGAAAAAAAGGGGACATATGTAATACTTTCAGCAATAAAATTTTTAAAAAGAAAAAAAGAAGAGCTAACACCTATCCTTCTCAAACTATTCAAAAAAATTCAAGAAATAGGAAGACTCTCAAGCTCATTTTATAAAGCCAGCATTATTCTAATTCCATAAGCAGATAAAGACACTGTAAAGAAAAATTATTAGGAGGAGAAAATGGTGGTCAAATAGGTAGACCTGTCGGGCACCTCATCCCAGGGCTAAGCTGGAAATACAGCTACATTGGAGAACATTCACCTGAATTTCCAACTGTGGTCCAGCTGGGGAGGTGACTTATAACAGGGAAGAACAAAAGGCACCTGGAGGCCCATAGGAAGGGAGAGATCGGAGAGATGGGGAGCCAGGAGAGGAGGGATCTGAGCTGCAGGGAGAACTGTTTTGGGAGCACCCTCAGGGCTCCACACACCCAACAGGCTGCGCTTCCCGACCTGTGGCAGTGCAACCCAGGGCCACAGCACCCATATATCGAAGCAGCAGGATTGCTGGGGGCAGACCAGAGCCCATGGGGGAGAGAGCCACAGTTTCTATTGCATTAAAAATAAAAAAATCTCTAAACCAGTGGTTCTCAACCTTCTCGCCCTTTAAATACAGTTCCTCATGTTGTGACCCCCAACCATAAAATTATTTTTGTTGCTACTTCATAACTGTAATTTTGCTACTGTTATGAATCGTAATGTAAATATCTGATATGCAGCATGGTCTTAGGCAATTCCTGTGAAAGGGTCGTTCGACCCCCGAAGGGTTGCGACCCACAGGTTGAGAACCGCTGCCCCAGAGCACAGGAGTTTTCATTGGCAACTACACACCTGACACATTGGTGCAGGGAGGGCGGAGCTGGCTTGAGGTGCCTGAGGACAGGCGGGGTGAGCAGCAGGGAGGGCAGGGAGACTTGGGAAGGCCGTGGCCAGGAATCCTGCATTGGGTCATGCACAGGCTTCCAAACCGAAACTGCCATTTTCCCTGGAAGGAGCTACCTGCTGCCAACACACAGAAGGCAGGAAGGGAAAAAACCTTCCCCAGGTGATACAACCTGCCACAGCCTGCATTTGGAGCTTTACTGAGGAAAAAAGGCAGAGGCCAAGCTTATGTCTGAACAGCCTCAAAGAGCCCTTTGTGTCTGAATTGGAGAAGGGGCTGTCCACCCCACTGTTCTAGGAACCAGACTGATAAAAACTCCTGGGTCCCAGCTGACCACATTGGTCTCCATACAAGGATCTCTGTCCAGCCAAGAGCAGAGTAATATCTTAGGCCACTTGCAGAGGAGTAGCTCTGGGACAGGAAAAACACCTATCATATTCCCTGAAAGCAACATACAACCAGAAACACTCATCAGAAAGAATATATGCACCGCTATGTTCATAGCGACACAATGTATAATAGCTAAGATTTGAAAACAGCCTAAGTGCCCATCAGTAGATGAGTGGAGGAAAAAACTATTGTACATTTACACAATGGAATACTACACAGCAATAAAAAAGAAAGAACTCTTACCTTTGCAGCAGCATGGATGGACCTGGAGAGCATTATGCTAAGTGAAATAAGCCAGTCAGATTAAGATAAATGTCACATGATCTTACTGTGATCTAAATGTGGAATCTAATGAACCAAATAAAATGATGAACAAAAATAGACCCAGAGCCATAGAAGCATGAACAGACTGTTGAACCTCAGAGGGAAGGCAGGGGAGGGTGGGTGGAAGGAGATCAGTCAATGAACTTGTATGCATTTATGCATAACCCATGGACACAGACAATAGGATGGTGAGGGCCAGGGGCCTGGCGGAGGGTGGGGGCCAGGAGAGGGTTGGAAGAGGTTAATAAGGGGGGAAGGAGAACCTATGTAATACTTTGAACAATAATGATGAAAATAATAAATGAATAAAATTAGAAAATTTTATATTCCCTTTTCTACCCTCCCCAATAAAAAATAAATAAATAAAAAATATTATAGGCCAATGTCATTGATGAACACATAGATGCTAAAATACTCAACAAATATTAGCAAACTGGATCCAGCAATACATTCAAAGCATCATACAACATGATCAAATGAGATTTATTCCAGGGACACAAGGTTGGTACAATATCCACAAATCAATAAACATGATACACCACATAAACAATATAAAAGGTTAAAAAAATCACATGATCATATCAATAGATGTAGGAAAAGCATTTACTAAGAGCCAGCACCCATTTATAATAAGAATATCAGCAATGTGGGAATACTGTAGAAGGAACATACCCCAATATAATAAAGGCCATGTAGCAAAAACCCACAGCCAACATCATAGTCAGTGGGTAAAAACTAAAAGTGTTTCCTCTAAGATCGGGAACAAGAAAGGAATGTCCACTCTCACCACTCTTATTCAACGTAGTAATGGAAATCCTAGCAACAGAGATCAGACAAGAAGAAATAAAAGGCATCCAAATTTGAAAAGAAGAGGTAAAACTGTCACTATTTGCAGATGACATGATACTGTGCACAGAGAGCCCTAAAGGTTCCACCAAAAATCCACTAAAAATGATAAATGAATTCAGTGAAGTAGCAGGAAGCAAAATAAACATCCAGCAATTTGTGGCATTTTTATACACTAAGAATGAACTATCAGAGAGAGAAACTAAGAAAACAACCCCATTTGCAATTGCATCAAAAAATACCTTGGAGTGAATTTAACCAAGGATGTAAAAGAGCTGTACTTGGAAAATTATAAGACACCGAAGAAAGACATGGAGGAAGATACAAATAAGTGTAAGCATAGACTGTGTTTGTGGATGGGAAGAATTCACATCATTAAAATGTCCATACTGCCCAAGCAATCTATAGATTCAATGCAATTCCTATCAAGCGACAATGGCATGTTTCACAGAACTAGAAAAATATTTCAAAAATTTATTTGAACCACAAAAGACCGACCCTAAACAGCCACAGTGATCTTGAGAAAGAAAAAAGTTGTAGGGATCGTGCTACCTGATGTCAAACTATACTATAAGGCCATAATAATCAATTAGCATGGTGCTGGCATAAAAACAGACATATAGATCAATGGTACAGAATAGGAAGCCCAAAAATAAACCCACAACTTTATGGTCAATTAATATTTGACAAAGGAGACAAGAACATACAATGGGGTAAAAAGAGTCTATTCAGGAAATGTTATTGAGAAAATTGAACAGATGCATGCAAAAAAGAAAGAAAAAGAAGAAAGAAAGAAAAGAAGGAAGGAAGGAAGGAAGAAAGAGAGAGAGAGGGAGGGAGGGAGGGAGGGAGGGAGGGAGGGAGGGAGGGAGGAGGGAAGGAAGGGAGGAAGGAAGGAAGGAAGGAAGGAAGGAAGGAAGGAAGGAAGGAAGGAAGGAAGGAAGGAAGGAAGGAAGGAAGGAAAAACCACCCTCTTACACCATACAGGAAAAGAAATTCAAACTGGATTAAAGACTTAAATGTAAGTCTCGAAATCATAAAACTTCTAGAACACATAGGCAGTTACATCTCGGGCAGTTCTCGTAGCAATATTTTATTCTGATATATCTCTTAGAGCAAAGGAAACAAAAGAAAAAATAAACAAATGGCACTACAGCAAATCAAAAGGCTTTTGCACAGCAAAGGAAACCATCAACAAAATGAAAAGGCAACACACCAAACGGGAGAACATGTTCGCCAATGAGACATCTGATTAGGGGTTAATGTCCAAAATTTATAAAAACATTTAACTCAACACACACACACACACACACACACACACCACCACCACCACCACCACCACCAACAACAACAACAACAACAATCCAATTTTAAAATTTGCATCAGGATAGACATTACTCCAAAGAGAACATACAGCTGGCCAATAGACATATGAAAAAATTCTCAAAGTCCCTAACTATCAAAGAAATGCAAAGTAAAACCACAGTGAGATATCATCCCCACACCTGTCTGAATGGCTATCATCAACAAACTAACAAATAACAAGTGTTGTCAAAGATCAGGTTAAAATGGGAACCTTTGTGCATTGTTGTTAGGAATGCAGATTGGTGCAGGCAATCTGGAAAACAGTACGGAATTTCCTCAAAAAATTAAAGATAGAACTGCGGATGGCCCAGCAATTTCACTTCTGGGAATTTATCTGAAGAAATCCAAAACACTAATACAAAAGAATATATGCACCCCTATGTTCACTGCAGCATTATTTACAATAGCCAAAATTTAAAAGTTGCCCAAGTGCCCGTCAGTAAATGAGTGGATGAAGAAGCTGTGGTACATTTACACTAATCGGCCAATGTTACCCAATAAATTTGATAAAAATTAAAATGTTTTTCTGAAAAAGTCCCCAGTGGGAGCCTTCCTTAATAAGATGACTTTCAGAAAATGTTTAAGTCTCTTTTTCAGATACAGTTTTAGATTTTAGTAAGAATTGAGAATACCAAAGACACATTGTTTTAAAGATTTAATGACAAGTTTTAAGTGGGAGAGATGGCACTTTAAATAAATGATTAAAAAATATTTTCTTAGAACGTTTTATCCTAGATCAAGGATGGCGAACCTATGACACGCGAACTCATTTTTTTGGTTGATTTTTCTTTGTTAAATGGCATTTAAATAGATAAAATAAATATCAAAAATATAAGTCTTTGTTTTACTATGGTTGCAAATATCAAAAAATTTCTATATGTGACACGGCACCAGAGTTAAGTTAGGGTTTTTCAAAATGCTGACACGCCGAGCTCAAAAGGTTCGCCATCACTGTCCTAGACTATCAATCTGTGTATTTGCCAAAATTATTTACAACCTGACACACATTTTCCCATAAACAATGCATAGAACCAAAATATTGCATTTGACCTTCAAGAAATTGTGCATCACTTGGCAAAAATCTGAAATGTACTTTGCAAAGTACATTGAGGCACTAATTTTGAAAAGAAGATAATTGCTGTTTTAAATAAAATCATATACATTATTATAAGAACCAAACTAAGCAAATTATATCAGATTTCCTAATCCAATGATCAATGTAGTAAATGTAATATGCCCAGAACTTGAAAACCTTTAGAATCCTTCAAACCCAGGGTGGATATAATATTTTGCTGTTGTTTGCTTAGTCCTACTCTCAACATAAATTTTCTAGGTTTGATGATATAAGGAATAAAAAAGAAATTAGCTAAGATCAAACAAGGTTATGATTTGAGCACTTTGAACCAATAACTTTACATTTGAGTACTAGTAGATGATACGAAATTTTTGTTAGTTATTAAGTCCATTTTTTAAAACCCCTGTTGGTGGAAGGTGTAGACTTTAATTTCTTCTCCAATAGAGTTAATGAACTAACTGGAAACTATCTCATTATTTTCCTGAACCCCCTAGTGAGGAAAAAAAAAAGGCCATTCTCATCTAATAGCTAGAGAAACTGAGTAACTAGTAGATGTAACTGTACTCATTTGCAAAGGAAAATTATAGCCTTAATATACCCTGAGCTGTAGATATGAAAGATATTGCATACACATATATCCTCTCCTTTATTTTTAAGGAAGAAATACCTGTTTCTTAAAGTATATATAAACCCTTGGTCCTATACCTTTTGGCAGCATAAATTATTGCTTCATGGCCTGACAGGGCAGTCACCTTTTAAATTTACTTTTAAATAATCTTTCCTTAATCCATGCAAGGATTAGGCCAATCGTGAATATTCAGAATTTCTTCGTGTTTGTTTTTATTCTATGGATTTTGGAACTGCAAAAACTCAGGCCCTGGCCTTGTGGCTCAGTTGGTTGGAACATCTTCCCATGCACTGAAGGGTTGCTGGTTCAATTCCTGGTCAGGACATATGCCTAGGTTTTGGGTTCAATCCCTGGGTGGGGTGCATCCAATTGATGTTTCACAACTCTCTCTCACTCCCTTCCTCTCTCTCTCTAAAAATCAATATATAGGCCTTTGGATGAGAATTAAAATAAAAACCTCAGGAAATAACTCTTTGCAAAGTACATTGAGGCACTAATTGGAAAGTAAAAGAAAACAACACAAATTGAATGTATTTTTAGTTCCATAAAAATGAATTTGAGCCCTGGCTAGGTGGCTCCCCTGGTTGAAGCCCGGTCCCTACACCAAAGATGTTTCATGCCCAGTCAGGCTGTGAACAGGAGGCAACCAATCGATGTTTCTCTCTCACATTGATGTTTTTCTCTCTCTCCTTTCCTCTCCCTAAAATCAATAAAAACATATCTTCATGTGAGGATTAAAACAAAGTAATTTGACATTTCACATAGAAATTGTAAACCATCATATGGTTTTGATTTCTTCTCAATTTGTTTTGCAAAAAAGTGGAGTGTTTCACTTGAATGGAAATGTTCTCAAGTTACTCCAGTACTACTGCAGGATTGATTCTTGTAGATTAAAGGAATGCCAGAGTTAGGTGCTTTATATTTTATATTTTTATTTTTAAAAAGATCATTATCTTTTTTTAAATGGATTTAGGACATGTGAAAACAGATTAGGAAAATGTAATCATTTCAGTATTACCAACATAGGGCTTTGTGTAATGAGTATGACATCATGACAGTGAAGTATATATTTTTAGGCTTTAAACAGGAAAAGCTTTATCTTGGTATAGCCAATAGAAATACAATATGTAAATTAACTCATGTTATCTGTAGGCTGATTGGCTTCAGTTTCCCTGACGTCACATTCTCACCACCCAACAATGAGGTATTTTATTGCTGTTCGGACATCAATTTATTACTGTAAAGATCTTTATTTTTTTTCTGTTTCATTAACAGATTATTACAAAGCAATAAAGCATGGGTGAGAAGCAGACGTTTTACGTTGGGAATGAATGAAAGCAAGTCTGCTAGTTTTTTTGGAAGTGGGGAGTTGTTTAAAATCTCTTATTACCCCACCAACAAAATTCTTCCGAAATGGCAACATAAGGAAATGCATGATAGAGGCATCCCTAAAGCGCCCCGGTGTCAGGCCATGTGGTGTGCTGTGGTACCACTGGGCCTTTATGTATTCCTGGTATTTTTCTTCAGTAATAACAAAGGGAAACACACACAGGTGCTTTGACATGACCAACCTATTGGTAAATCGCACTTGCAAGACGAAACGAAAGTCTGTTGCTCCTTAGGGTGAAAGGCGAGGAATAGTCATTTACATTTTTTGTAGATTTATTGCTCTCCCCCAGCCCCCTCCCCACCCCGTAACTTGCAAATCCCAAGGTCAGTGGCGCTGCTGGGGACCACTCTAAAGAGGAAGGAGGAAAAGGTTCGCGGAAGGCGAGGGTCCGGGAAGAGGGGCGGGCGCCCCGGGCCAGGTGGCCTCTCGGCGCTGCCCTCGGGGGGCTGGGCCTGCGGCCCCCAGCCAGCCTCTCCGCTTCCCACTTCCAATGCGGGAACGGGTGGAGTTCAGAAGCCACCGCAGGGATACAGAAGCCTCATTCTGCCAGTTCAGCAGGCCCGGACCTGCAGCCGACTTGGCCGGCCCCGGGCGCGGGTCCGCGCTGAGCCGCGCCGAGGCCCCCGCAGCCCCTGCCCTGCGCCGCTGAGCGAGGCCGCCCTGCGCCAGGCGGACGCGGCTGGAACTCGTGGAGGCTCAGCGCGCAGGCGCCGCCGAGCCCTGCCTGGATGCTCAGTCAAAGCACTAAGGCCAAAAAAAAATAAAAAATAAAAAATAATCAGCAATTTATAGAAAGAAGAAGCTATAGTCTGTCGGGATGCCCAACACCAACAGGTAGGAGGCCAGCCTCTCGGTTAAGTTTGTGGGGAGGAGGGCTCACGGTGTCGATGGAACTGCAGGTTCGCCAGGAAAGCGCTCCCCCTCCCCCCCAGGTGGGTTTTTTTTGTTTTGTTTTGTTTTTTTTGTTTTTTTTACAATAAACTACATAATGGAAGTACATTCGGACAATGCATCTTCAGTCGGGCTTATTCAAAGCTCCATTTTTGGAAAGCGTTGCAAGACTGAGGACTACCAGCCTGCGAGCCGCCGGAAACAGTTCCCTTGCAGCACAGAAACAATCTTCTCGCACCATCTTCGCGTATGTAATGCATGTCTCTCCCCTCCTCCTCCTCCCCCCATTATAAATCCAGGGGTGGCGGATTTCAGGTTTCGTAATGTTGCATGATGAGATCGGTATTTACCCGGGGACGTACCAGTGGGGAAATTAAAATCATCGAAGCAATTTTGCCTGGGTTACCGTCAGCATATTCCGAGCAAGTGAAAAGTGGCAAAGGAAATATGCTTAGTGGAAATAGCAGAGGAAGCCGATTTTCCCGGTGTGATTCCCAGGCATCTAGAAGAAAATGTGCATTTTTTTTTTTTTTTAACGAAGCCACTTTCGATTTGCAACTAAGATGATCAGTGTAAATGGAAAGGCTTAATTGACCAAGAAATACAGGTTCGTGTTAAATTTATTTGAATCCAGGCATCCAAGATTTACAAATGGAAGTCCATAATTCCTCTGGGTGTGTTTTCCTGGCCAGTATTTGCATTAACCATTTTTAATAATCGTGCGTGCTTAAAAGAGGAAAGATTTGCCAAAAATGGGGTGGGGTGGGAGTGGGGAAACAAAAGATTAAATCACATCAAATCCTTGGATAATTTCCTATTAATTTAGAAATCAGAAATGTTGAAATTATACTCTAAGGAATCAAAAAATACACTCATAATATGCAGCATGAATAGTGACACATGAGTTAAAAGATAAATATTTTGCAATGGTTCTTTGGATCCATATCTACAGGGGAGTTACCTATAAAATACTGACAGATACTAATAGACCTCAAAGAAATGTAGTCTCCTCTCTGTCTTCTATTGTCAATTGTCTAGATTCCATTGCAACACTAGTGACTAATTCCTAGACTGGCATATTTTATGATTGTGGGACATTATCCCTTTTGTCCTAAAGGTACCAAAAAAAAAAAACAAAAAAAAAAAAACACGTATGTTCTCCAAAAGAGGAACATTTTTAAGTTTATCTAGCTTGGAAAACTAAGCAAGCCAATGGTCTGAACTCTCAAGCAAAAATACTAAAGCAAATAATAACATTCAAAATTAAAACTTTACTTACTTCCCATAAATCAACAGCTTTATGTTAGTACTGTCTGACATCATTGCTTGTTAACTTCATACCTGATAGCTCTTTTTTCCCCCCAGATATTCTGATGGCAAATCAAATGGAAGAAAAGAGGAAGCATGACAGCAGATTGGATCGATTCTCTTTGTGGATTACATTTTCAGTAAAATGTATGGGTCTGTCTTTTCCTTGTTCTATCTAGATCATGAGACTTGACTAAGGCTGTATCTTTAGCCTCCATCCATCTATGGCGAACTATAGCCATGCAGCTGACAACATTTTGCAAAATCTCTCCCCTCTAACAGCCTTTCTGAAACTGACTTCCTTGGGTTTCATAATAGGAGTCAGTGTGGTGGGCAACCTTCTGATTTCCATTTTGCTGGTGAAAGATAAGACCTTGCATAGAGCACCTTACTACTTCCTGTTGGACCTTGGCTGTTCTGATGTCCTCAGATCTGCAATTTGTTTTCCATTTGTATTCAACTCTGTCAAAAATGGCTCTACCTGGACGTATGGGACTCTGACTTGCAAAGTGATTGCCTTTCTGGGGGTTCTGTCCTGTTTCCACACTGCTTTCATGCTCTTCTGCATCAGTGTCACCAGATACTTAGCTATCGCCCATCATCGCTTTTATACAAAGAGGCTGACTTTTTGGACGTGCCTGGCTGTGATCTGCATGGTGTGGACTCTGTCGGTGGCCATGGCGTTTCCCCCAGTTTTAGATGTGGGCACTTACTCATTCATTAGGGAGGAAGATCAATGCACCTTCCAACACCGCTCCTTCAGGGCCAACGATTCCTTGGGATTTATGCTGCTCCTTGCTCTCATCCTCCTAGCCACACAGCTTGTCTACCTCAAGCTGATATTTTTTGTCCACGATCGAAGGAAAATGAAGCCAGTTCAGTTTGTAGCAGCGGTCAGCCAGAACTGGACCTTTCATGGCCCCGGAGCCAGCGGCCAGGCAGCTGCCAATTGGCTATCGGGATTTGGAAGGGGCCCCACACCACCTACCTTGCTGGGCATCAGGCAGAATGCAAACCCCACGAGCAGAAGAAGGCTATTGGTCTTAGATGAGTTCAAAATGGAAAAAAGGATCAGCAGAATGTTCTACATAATGACTTTTCTCTTCCTAACCTTGTGGGGCCCCTACCTGGTAGCCTGCTATTGGAGAGTTTTTGCAAGAGGGCCTGTAGTACCGGGAGGATTTCTAACAGCTGCTGTCTGGATGAGTTTTGCCCAAGCAGGAATCAATCCTTTTGTCTGCATTTTCTCCAACAGGGAGCTGAGACGCTGTTTCAGCACAACCCTTCTTTACTGCAGAAAATCCAGGTTACCAAGGGAACCTTACTGTGTTATATGAAGGAGCATCTGTAAATCTTTAGCCTTCTGAAACACTGACCTTCTCTGTTAAGCAACTATGGCCTGTAGCCATATCTTGAGAAGAAAATCAAGAATGGGATTAGTGGTTATAGGGATTTGGGGGACTTTCTGCAGTCTTTGCAATTGTTCACCGATAATCCTATTTTAAATCTCAGAGTGATCCTGCTGACTGCCCATGGAGGTTTGATACTGAGAAAGGACCGAACCACTGCCCTGAGTTTCTTTATGTGGTTGAAAACTAGGTAATGAAATTAGCAGGTGCTAAGTATCAGTGCTAAATGCTGTGTATATCACTACTTATGAAAAAAACATTTCAAAAAAAAACTAGCATTGGACATCTTAATAAGTTAAGTTGACTTGAGGTAAATATGTTGATAAAAACTAATTTTAGAAGTTTGAAGAGTTTAAAACATTTCATACTATTATTGTTTTGCAAATACTAAAATACTTGGGGACTTAAAGTACCATAATCCACTAAAGATATGCCATGAATTATTGAATTGTGACATTTAAAAAAATCATCATGTAAGTTTGGAGGTGCATTCCAAAGCAGTATATTGGTTCCAATTAGAGTTTACTTTTTTTAAAAAAAAAATGTGTGTTTATTGATTTTTAGAGAGAAAGGAAGAGGGAGGGATAGAGAGATAGAAATATTGATGAGAGAGAAACATCATTAATGGGCTGTGTCCTGCACGCCCCCTACTGAGGATTGAGCCACAATCCAGGCATGTGCTCTGAACAGGAATCAAACTGCTGACCACTTGGTTCCTGGGTAGACACTCAACTGCTGAGCCACACCAGCCGGAGCTAGAATCTACTTTTTAAAAATTAATGCATTACCATTACTAAATACCACTTTCCTTACCTACTAGTTAAATTGCTAGCATTGAACTGTATTATTTGATTTTTGTTGATTTGGTACAAAATTTTCCCAATACGCTTTTATTTGGCCTGGAAGGCAACATTAATGGTACAGTTGAGCTGTTCTTATAATTCAGAATAAACATGTTGCTTTGAAGAGTTATCTAATATCTTTCATCTTACTTAGTATTGGAGCAAATAGTCAAGGGATATCAAATCAGTAACTGGTCATGATCATGCATCTGGAAGTACATGGAAGATCATTAACTCTCTTTTCTTTTTCCTCACGTGGTTTAAAAATTAAGGTGCACATTATTGGAATAATGAAATTGTGCTACTCATTCTAGTATGTTCTAAGAAACAGGCAGTTGATGTATGTTTATATTTTAAGTCAGCTGTCAAGGGGAGACCACAGCCTTAGTATGACAGCCTGCACAGTTTGTGAAGTGTTTATTCTACAGAGGGCACAGTCTTGTTTATATTTTCTGCACATTCAGTGTATTTGTCATTTAAATTATTTAAGATTTAACTTGTGAAAGCTTTAATATGATTTCTGGTATTTTAGAAATATATTAGAGTCTGTGAGTCTCATTCTTTAAAATACAGATGTGTGAATTTCAATATAAAGTTGCATTTGCCAAAACTTAACTGTGTAGCCTGTTATTTTCTTGGAATAAGTTTTATAGTTTTTGACAGTTAAAAAATTTTTGGACCTGGAAAGCAAGCACAAACTAGGAAGACTAGCTTTAATATAGTTTTTTTTTATTTTTATTGCTCACTATTAATTTAGAAATGGAAATGCATAAATGATAGGGAGTATAAAGCTGATACACCAACAAATTATATTATCTGTAAAAGCATTATTTGATAGCTTATTATAATTATCTTTCTCTTTATTTTTATAAGCCAGTAACATTTAGAGACATATCTGTGTAGTTGGTTAATTCAGAATTTTCATATAAATATCACATTTTAATTTGTGGCAGAGTAGAAATTTGGGATTCTAAATATTTAGCTTGTAAGAAGAATAGTTTACAATAATGTTATGACAAACCAGACAAGCTGTTATTGTTTTTTTGTTTGTTTTTCATTGTTTTTATTTGTTTGGGGGTTTTTGTACTTAAAAAATAAGCTTAGGAATAATGGAACAGAATTTTTATTGCTATAGTATATCTGTAAAGAGAATATATAAATATAAATAAGGAAAAATAAATAAAATGTCTCAGTGATGTATACAACTATTCAGTTTGCTCATATAAGGACAGCTGAAGCGATGATTTAGTGAGGACTCTGTTAGACCTCATTTTTACTTTATACCAAAGTTGATTGGATCGGAAACAGTTTAATGTACAACACTGGGTTGAATCTAGCAATAAAGTCCCCTGGTTGCTACTAAAATCATTATCCAATATACTACAATAAAGGAAATGTTATCAAAAGATATTCTGGAGACATTATGTGTCCAACTAAAAAAAAATTACAGTAGAGACATTATTACAATGATTATATTTATAGAGAGCAACTGGTAGAAAATTCAGCAAGGATCCCGAGGACAGAGAGAGACCAGTTGCCATGTTGTATTTTGGAATCCTAAATTCCTGTGCTATTAATGCTATACACAAAATAACAACAACAAAATGGGAGTTCAAGTTCCTCCATATCTTGACTGTCCACTTCCATATGAGAGATATTTCAGCTCCTTCAAGAGACCTGGAGGTGTCTTTTCATCCATTTTTATAGCTTCCTGCAAGTTAGCTTGTGAATGCCTGGGTAAAGGAAGGCACTAAGATGCCCACTCCCAGGGGGCCTCCCCTGGTGCTCAAGCAAAGATGAGAATTACCTATGAAATGGTACATATCTTTATTATTGAAGTATGCCACTCCTTCAACTTTTCTACTGCCCCCTATTGGAGATATACAACCAAATTACCTAATCTATTAGCTGAAAAGTTGTGTGGCCTGCAAAATTCAAATACAATTAAACATATTTATAATTGTAGAGACATATTCCTTCTCAGCCATGAAGTAGAGTTGTGTTGCAACAGGTGTTACTGTAGGACCCTTGCAAGTGGAACCAAAAATCTTCACTTATATGTATTCACCATTAGATAAATTTACCTTGTGCCATTTTTTACTTTATCCCACCAGCATCGTAGACTGTATTGTTAGTAAAACAAACAAAAAAGATCCAGCTTATATTAGTTTCATATATATAAAAAAAGAAAGAAGATAAGATGATAAACGGTAATGTTTCAAATGCTGGCTAAACACATTAATTTAGGTAGATAGTTATCAGAATTAGGGTTATTTATGATTTCAAAATCTTATGAGTTTGTTTTTCTATGCAAAATACATCACTTGCATGTCTGTGTTGCATGTCTGTGAATATTCTCTTACAAATGTTTTGAATGGAAATTGCAGGGCCTACTAAGATAGCAGTTTATTGCTGACATTTTTATTGTTCTCAACTCAGAGCACGCTAGTGTTCTGTGACTTTCCCAATCCCCTCAGAAACTTTTTTAAAACCGCATTGAAATGATAGAATTGTTTGATTTTGAGGCACAGGTTCCTAATGAGTCTATGTAATGGTTAAAACGAAGATGTTATTTGTAAATGAAAGGATTCATTTTTTTGCCATCAGTTAACCCAGCAAATACGTTAAAGGGACATTGAGAACCGGAGCAATGGAGAAAATATTGGGGGGAGAGAGGGAAGTCAAATTTTTTTTTTTTTTTTTTTTTTTTGCCGTATACTACAGTATAACAGGTTTTAATTTTATAAAAGAATTATGAAAATAAGGATTTATTTTTTGTTTTGTTTTTTTGAGAAGGAGCTTTTATATCATCTCCTTTTGCCAAAGGGATGCTATCCATTAGCTTGCTCAAGCCCTTTCGATGAAAAGGATTTTAAAGCCAGATTTCCTCCCACCAGATCAAGCAGTTAATTCAAGAACTGAAACCTTGAAAGGCTGGGGAGGAAAGAAAAGAGAATGTGTTTTTCTCTGAGTGATTATAGGAAAAGGCCCCAAAAAAACCCACAGGTGGTTGAGGCTTGGAATTATTCACAGCCACTGCCCCTACACCCCTCCCCCGCCACCTCCTAGACAACAAAATCACCTTTAGAAAGGCAAGATTTTTCCTTTTTTAAAAAAAATTTTTATTGATTTTAGCGAGCAAGGGAGAAGGAGAGAGAGATTAGAAACATCAATGATGAGAGAGAATCATTGATCAGCTGCCTCCTGCACGCCCCCCACTGGGAATCGAGCGAACAACCTGTGCATATGCCCTGACCACGGGCGGGACTATGACCTCTGGTTTATCAGTCGATGTTTAACCACTGAGCCATGCTGGCTGGGCAGAAAGGAAGGTTTTTAAGTTTGGCTTGGAGACAAAAAAGTTTCCTTTTTTCCTGTGTTTGGAAAATAATAGATTCTTGATACAAATATTAAAATTGATACTATAATGCATGCCCTGGTTTATGGGATTTTGAAGAGACAATAAAATAGCATTTAACTTATATGGATAGTCAAGATCATGAGGTGAAGAAGTAAGTCATTTTGTTTTCTCCACCATGAAAAAAATAAAAAGTTGAGGATGTTAATTTTGTCCAGAGGATAAAAAGACTTTTTGATCATTTTAGTAAGCATTTTTACTTACCCATCATTCAATCAATAATCATTTCTTGCATGTCTGTTCTTGGGCAAGTTACTTAACCTTATATGTCTCATCAATAAAAACATCCTCAGGTTATTGAGAGGACTCAGTGAATGCATCCTTGTGAAGCCCTTAAAAGAGACTCTGGCATCTTAAATGCTACTTTTCATTGGCACACAAATTATGAGATAATGTGATAAGTGCTGTATGTGAGATAAGTGTTAAAGAAACACAGACAAGCAATTAACTCTGTGAAGATGAGAGGAGGAAGGTGATTTCAGACAGAGGAAATAAAATGAGCAAAAGGCAAATAAAGAGATTTGAAAGCTCAGGGTATGTTCAACGTAGAGATCCACAAAGCAGGGACATTTAATGTGGTGTGGCTGCAGCTTTGATACCTAGAAGGGGAGGACCCACATGGCATAAAGGTTAAAAAAAACACAAGATTTGGAAGTTTAAGTGGTTATTCTGTTTGTTACCAGCTTTATAATCTTAAATAAGCTAACTCAACTCTTTGAGTCTCAATTTGCTTATCTGTAAAATGGAGGAGTAAGTAGGAGCAACCACTACTTGTAAAGATTTTTTTTTGTTGAGCTAATAATAACTATTATTAATTAAGTACTTACTTCAAAGACCCTTTCTAAGTATTTTTCATTTATTATGATTATCATCATAAGTAGATGCTATTATTTTCCATACTTTACAAATAAAGAAAGCAAAACACAGAGAAAGTAAGTAGCTTGCACAAGTTAGTAGAAAGCAAGTCATGAATATAAAACACTTAGCACATTGTGAAAACTCAGTAAATGTGTTTGCTGGTGTTGTTGATTTTAACAAAATAACCGAAGGAGGTGAGAGACTAATGGGAGCTGAAGTGAGTGAGCAGAAACAGAGCTCCACCCTTCAGACTTCAGCTCCAACTTGTTCTCCCTCTTTTCCCACTGGGAATCTAAAGGAAGCAAAGAATAGTTGGTTGCCTAATACCACCTCTCTGCTTTCACATAAGATCATATTACTACCGAATCAGGAGAATCCATCTGCTTTTTCAAATGACTTCTTAGAAGCTCATCGCTCAATATATCACTCACATTTTAAAAGTGGGCTACACACCTCAGGCCATCTGGAGAGTTTACTTAGATCTGACTCATAATCTTCGGTTCTAAATCAATTTCATTATATGCTATATAAAACGGAGATTTTAAATGGTGGTTACCCAACTCCGTGTACAGTCTTTTCATGGAGTCTGCTGTTAAGTCTCCCTTTAAGGGTCCACCTTTTAGGATCACCATTCCCAGGCACTTCTTTCCCTACCCTATAATCTCTCCAGAGCCTTCTGTAACTCTAGCATTCATAATACTATATAGTAAATGGATGATTAATGGAGAATAAACTAGAAGAATTACCTCATGAGTCCTGTTTGCTTAGTATTCATGCATAAACCTGGTATTCACACTTTTCTATTTATTGACTCATAGTCAGTTGTTTACCTACCTGGCCATCCTTCACTGCATTGTTGGGGGTCCAACCCCAGCAGGTCCAGGGGTCCCCAAAGGTGTGGACGGAGTCGGCGAAGAAGGAATGACATGGAGACAGCGTTCAGTTGATCAGCAGCCTAGCCAGGATCTCTAGCCAAGTTCTGTCTTTTATTGTCTTGTTACATCTGTATTTATACCAGTTGATTTTAATCCTGTCAATTTCTATTGCAAAGGTTAGGGCGTTTCTTATCTCCATTCCAGGGAGTAAAGATTATGTAGCTTAAGGGTGATTGTTCGAAGTTAAAGTGATTAATTACCCACCTGGCATTTAGTTAAGGGGTTTTATTCCCTCCCTAACTTCAGGGAAAAATCCCTACCTGGGGAAACAACCTTTCTCGGAGAGGTGACCTTGGTTAAAACACATAGCGCCAAGAAGGGGGGCAAACATATTAAGAACAGTATGCCATATATGCCAAGTCCCTTGAAACATATGCTGTGTAGATGTTTCTTCTCTGCAGCGACTGTGTCAAGCAGCAAGGATGGACCGGCTTCTGGCACTGCATTTCTTTTTTAAAGCTGTTATTTTGCCCATTTGAATTTCCATACATTCTTGCCAATTGAGCTTCATTCTTACTATTTGACCTCTTAATTTATCAGTAATTTGTACCAAGGAGATTCCATTTTCTAATTTAAAGTGATAGCCTGTGCCATTCCTCCATTCTAGTTTGGTGATATTTGTGGTCTCAGTAAACATATTTTCTATTTAATAATCCTGTTAATGTGGAAAAGCATGCCAGCCTGGGTATCAGAAGCTGTGAGTTGCTGACCAGCTACAGGCCATGTTCAATTCACTTGATTTCTTAGTTCCCTAAACTGGATAATAAAGGGGTTGATTTCTAAACTTTTTCCAGCTTGAAAAAAAAATGATGCTTTATACCTCTGGTCACTGATGTTCCCAGGACATTAATGACATG